AAGCGCTGCCCCCCGCTGTCCCGGGAGTGCACAAGCCACGACCACGAAGCCCGCGAGCAGGCCCCAAGCGCTGCCCCTGCTGTCCCGGGAGTGCACGGGCTGCTGCTGCCACCACAAGACCCATGAAGAGGTGCCAAGTGCTGCCTGCACTGTCTCCGGAGGGCATGGGCCACCACCACCAAGAGACCCGCCAGCAGGCGCCAGTCATTGTGCCCTTGCGGGAGCATGCGGGCTGCCACCGCCACTACGAGAACTGGGAGCAGGGGCCAATCGCTGCCCCCGCTGCCCAAAAGGCTCAGGGGCCGCGGCCACTGCAGGGAGACCAACGAGAGGCGCTGATCGCCGCCCCCGCCACACCAGGAGCGCACGGGCCACCGCACCTGCACGCCCCGTATCAAGGGGATAACGTCCAGCATACACTGAGGAAAGAGGCAGCAAGCATCCAGACTGAAAGCAACCCCTCAAAGCCAGACAAGATGGCGGAGTAGAGGATCGCGCTCACCTCCTCTCAAGAAAACTCCAAAATCACAGCTAACTGCTAAACAACTATCAACAAAAAAGATTGGAGGGCTTCCCTGGTAGTGCAGTGGTTAAGAATCCACCTGCCAATGCAGGGGACATGGGTTCGGGCCCTGGTCTAGCAAGATCCCACATGCGGCGGAGCAACTAAGCCCGTGCACCACAACTACTGAGCCTGCGCTCTAGAGCCCGCGAGCCACAACTACTGAGCCCTCGTGCCACAACTACTGAAGCCCACGAGCCACGACTACTAAAGCCCGTGAACCACAACTACTGAAGCCCGCACACCTAGAGCCCATGCTCCGCTACAAGAGAAGCCACCACAATGACAAGCCCGCACACTGCAATGAAGAGTAGCCCCCACTCACCACAACTGGAGAAAGCCTGCGCGCAGCAACAAAGACCCAACTCAGCCATAAGTAAACAAACAAACAAGCAAATTTTTTTTAAAAAGACCGGAACCTACAAAAAAAGATATTTTACACCCAAAGACAAAGAAGAAGCCACAACGAGATGGTAGGAGGGGCACTTTCACAATATAATCAAATTCCATACCCGCCAGGTGGGTGACCAACAAACTGGAAAATAATTATATGGTAGAGGCCCTCCCACAGGAGTGAGAACTCTGAGCCCCACGTCAGGCTCCCCAGCCTGAGGGTCTGGCCTCAGGAGGAAGAGCCCCCAGAGCTCTTGGCTTTCCAGGCCAGCAGGGCTTGAGTGCAGGAGCTCCACAGGACTGGGGGAAACAAGAGACTCCACTCCTGGAGGGCACACACAAGATTTCGTTGGCTATGGGACCCAGCACAAAGCAGTGACTCTACAGGAGCCTGGGACAGACATACCTGCAGGTCTTGGACGGTCTCCTGGGGAGGCAGGGATCAGCTGTGGCTCACTGTGGGGGCAAGGACACTAGCGACAGCGACAGAGGCCCCAGGGAATATGATCAACGTGAGCTCTCCTGCAGGTCACCATCTTGGCACCAAGACCTGGCCCCACCCAACAGCCAGCAGGCTCTAGTGCTGGGATGCCTCAGGCCAAACAACCAGCAGGGGAAACACAGCCCCACCCATCGGCAGACAGCCTGCCTAAAGTTGTAATGAGCTCACAGTTACCTCTAAGCACACCCCCTGACATGGGCCTGTCCACCAGAGGGACAAGACCCAGCTCCACCCACCAGTGGGCTGGCTCCAGTCCCTCCCACCAGGAAGCCAGCACAAGCCCAGCATCAACCTCACCTACCAAGGGCAGACACCAAAAACAAGAGGAACTGCAATCCTGCAGCCTGCAGAAAGGAGACCACAAACACAGAAAGTTAGACAAAAAGAGATGACAAAGAAATATGAAGGAACAAGATAGAAACCCAGAAGAACAACTAAGTGAAGTGGAGATAGGCAAGCTACCTGAAAAAGAATTCAAAGTAATTATAGTAAAGATGACCCAAGATCTCAGAAAAAGAATGGAGGCACAGACCGAGAAGATACAAGAAATGTTTAATAAAGAGCTAGAAGATTTAAAGAACAAACAGACGAACAACACAATAACTGAAATGAAAACTACACTGAAAAGAATCGACAGCAGAATAAATGAGGCAGAAGAATGAATAAATGAGCTGGACAACAGAGTGGTGGAAATTACTGCCACAGACCAGAATTAAGAAAAAAGAATGAAAAGAAATAAGGACAGCCTCAGAGACCTTTGAGGCAACATGAAACACATCAACATTCACAATATAGAACTCCTAGAAGAAGAGAGAGAAAGGGTCCAAGAAAATAGCTGAAGATATTATAGCTAAACACTTCCCTAACATGGGAAAGGAAACACTCACTCAAGTCCAGTAAGTGCAAAGAGTCCCATGCAGGATAAACCCAAGGAGGAAGACGCCAAGACACATATTAACGAAACTGACAAAAATTAAAGACAAAGAGAAAATATTAAAAGCAACAAGGGAAAAGCAACAAGTATCATACAAGGGAATCCCCATAAGGTTTTTTCAGCAGAAACTCTACAGGCCAGAAGTGAGTGGCATGATACACTTAGTAATGAAAGGGAAAAAGCTACAACCAAGAATACTCTACCCAGCAAGGCTCTCGTTCAGATTCGAAAGAGAAATTGGAAGTTTTACGGACAAGCAAAAGCTAAGATAATTCAGCACCACCAAACCAGCTTTACAACAAATGCTAAAGGAACTTCTGTAGGTGGAAAAGAAAAGGCCACAACTAGAAACAAGAAAATTATGAATGGGAAAGCTCACCAGTAAAGGCAAACACACAGTAAAGGTAGGAAATCACCCACACACAAATATGATATCAAAACCAGCCATCGTGAGAAGAGGAAAGTACAGATGCAGGATATAGGAAGCGTGTTTGAAATTAAGAGACCAGCAACTTAAAACAATCTTGTATATATTCAATATATAGACTGCTTTACGAAAACCTCATGAGAACCGCGAACCAAAAATCTACAATAGGTACAACAGACACACACACAAAAAAAGCAATCCAAACACAAGACTAAGTCATCAAATCACAAGGGAAGAGAACAAAAGAAGAAGGGAAGAAAAAAGACCTGCAAAAACAAATCCAAAACAATTAACAAAATGGCAATAAGAACATACATATCGAGAATTACCTTATATGGAAATGGTTTAAAGGCTCCAAACGAAAGACAAAGACTGCCTGAATGGATACAAAAACAAGACCTATATATACGCTGTCTACAAGAGACCCACTTCAGATCTAGGGACACATACAGTTTGAAAGTGAGGGGATGGAAAAAGGTATCCCATGCAAATAGAAATCAAAAGAAAGCTGGAGTAGCAATACTCATATCAGACAAAATAGACTTTAAAATAAAGACTGTTACAAAAAACAAAGAAGGACACTACCTAATGATCAAGGGGTAAATCCAAGAGGAAAATATAACAATTGTAAATATATATATACACCCAACATAGGAGCACCTCAACATGTAAGGCAAATGCAAACAGCCATAAAAGGAGAAATTGACAGTAACACTGTAATAGTGGGGGGCTTTAACATCCCACCTACATCAATGGACAGATCATCCAGACAGAACATCAATGAGAAAACCCAGGCCATAAGTAACACGTCAGACCATCCAAAAGCAGCAGAATACACATTCTTCTCAAGTGCACATGGAACATTCTCCAGGATAGGTCACATGCTGGGCCACAAAGCAAGCCTTGGTGGATTTAAGAAAACTGCAATCATATCAAGCATCTTTTCCGACCACAACACTATGAGATTAGAAATCAGTAACAGAAATAACTTAAAAAAATAACAATACAAACATGTGGAGGCTAAACAACATGTTATTAAACAACCAATGGATCACTGAATAAATCAAAGAGTGAATAAATAAATAACTAGAAATAAAAGACAATGAAAACACGGGA